CAGGTCATCAGTTATAAGGGTCATCGTTGAACTATTAAAGGTCTTTCAACACTGGTGTTTTAATCTAGGTAAATAACTGCCTGTTCATACAAACATACTCTACTGCTTATAAAACATATCAGTCCTTTCTGGCATTTTGTTTTTATCTATATTTTCACCGGAAAAGAAATTTATTATCGATTTAAAGATAAACCGTCTGAAAAAATATGCAATCACTTTTTGAAAACACTATTTGATGCTCCTGCATACGAAAAGTAATTGTGTTGAAAAAAATGTGGGAGTCAATTGTAAGACAGATGATGTGGTAAGAATTTATTCATATAAAATATAAACTTTTTTTTAGCCTTTTGAAATTTTACGATAAATAAAGTATATAATAATCATTAGCAATTAGAAATATAAAGATGTACACAATACAAAATTTAGTTATTTTTTCTAAAATCATTAGTGTACCAAAGCATATACTAGAAACACTTTCTTTCACTTCCAACAGATCATTTGGCACAGCAGACTGGATTTAAATAGTTTTGTTATTTTTTCCTTTTTAGTGTATATTATCAAAGTTTTATCAGTGTTAGATGTAATGAAATGGTTGCATTATTAACTGGAAGCTCATTTGATATTATGTAGAATTATATGCACATACAACAGTAAGTTTGTAGTTTAGTTATAAACGTATTTCACAAACAATAGGTCTCTAATTTTAATTCTAAAATGCATATTTTCACTTAACAGTAAATAAATTCATATTAGATATAGACTATCATTCAAGATTTACTAATAAAATCACTTATGTAAAACACAAGCCAAATCTCTATTTAAAAGATACCCTAAGCTATCTTGTAATACTACAAGACTTCTATCCAAATGAACGATTATACTACATATACTGCATATTCATAAAGATACAATTCCATGACACGAACTTACCAAAAATATTTAAAAAAAACTATAAAAAACAGAAAGAAAACAGAATTTGTTTTTTTCTTTCTTTTTTTACAAGCGATTGTGGTGATGACTCTCCTTCCTGTGTTTCCTCAGCTTCTCAAGCATCTCCTCGAACAGCTGATCGATGTACTCCTCCTCTTCCTTGTCATTGATGAGGTAATCATCGTCTTCGTCATCCTCGTCGTCGAACAGGTCATTATAGTCGTCATCAAGAGGATCAACATCGTCGTCATCGTCCAAGTCATCATCGTAGTCATATTCATCGTCGTCATAGTTATCGAATTCCTGAACACCGAATTCCTTTTCAGAGGCTTTTGAGCTCTGAGTCGATGTGCAAACCCAGCTGCCTACAGCACATACACTGAAATAATAATAATAATGATAATAATAGTAATAATAACAATAATAATAGTAATGGAGATGATGGTGATGATGATAAGGCTAAGGATGATGATGGTGATAAAGATAATGATAATAATAATGATGATGAAGATGATGATAAGGATAAGGATAAGGATGATGATGATAAACATATTCATTTTCAGTTCATTTCTTAATCATCCACTTCTCTCTGCGGTTTGACAAGTTACTTGGAAAACACCTACTGTATGAAGAGGCTATGCTATATTGTATTTCCTGTCTTAATAGAAGGAATATTGCGTGCACACACACACACACACACACACACACACACACACACACACACACACACACACACACACACACACACACACACACACACACACACACACACACATATTTTTTTTTCTTTTTTTCTTTTTTTTTACATATGTAAATATATGTATCGAAAGTCATTCAAAACTTACCAGTGGTTGCCATCAACATGTACATCTTCCCCATCGTAATATTTACTGCCTTCCAGTGAACATTCTGTTGAAATTCATAATAGTTTATACATATGGAAAATAATACTAATTTTTGGAAGAGGAAAAAAACTTTGCCATGAAATTATATTTGTCGAACTTCCAGTATTCTAGCCAAGATAAAGTTTTCTAACAGATTATTCAAATTCTATGCTAATAAACTCACGCTTTTGAGGAGGACGATAGCCTGGAGAGAGCATGGTAGTGAATTCTTCGAAGTCCAAACGCCAGTCGCGGTTAACATCGGCTGCATCGATGAGGGCATCCACACACAACGCTCTGGGGAGATAAATAGATAAATGTGACCATTACGTACATTTAATTTAGATTAGGCAGAAGAAATTCCCGTTTTCTTTGTCAGGTGATGGTTGGTGTGTTATGTTTTTAAATTTTTGGTATAAAAGTTTTAGGTATAAGATGTCCTCTGTTATCAGTGTGTTTCAATTCGTTCAAGGACTGAAATAATGATGTTTAAGTGAAAATCGTCATGAATGGGATACGTGTTTTGCTGAATGACACGATAAAATTGGCCCTGGACTCCGTGACTTGAACCTTCTTGTTTGACGTACATATTGTCTTGCTGTAGGTAAGTATTTGCGATATTTGTTTGCTTATCTTGATATTCACTTGAGTACATTTTAGCACTTCAGATTATCCTTAACCAACAGCAGTATTGAGATGATTAATCTAATTGAGAATTATGTTAAGCGTGCCGAATGCCCTAGACGTTTGACGTACATATTGTCTTGCTGTAGGTAAGTATTTGCGATATTTGTTTGCTTATCTTGATATTCACTTGAGTACATTTTAGCACTTCAGATTATCCTTAACCAACAGCAGTATTGAGATGATTAATCTAATTGAGAATTATGTTAAGCGTGCCGAATGCCCTAGACAGTTATAAAAATGAATAATTCTATACAAACAAGCAAATAAATGAATAAATAATTTCGGAGTACAATGAATAAGTACATGGGAATAGCAAAAGACTTAAAACGCCGTCAAACGAGCGTAGGTGGAAGTTCAGTGACCATGAAAAACTATTTTGGGTATTTAATCCAAATGAACTCCGTTTTCTTTTGACGATGGTATAATTATACGGCATATGTACAAATCATACTATATCTTTTCTACAAAACCTTAAAAATTAAAAAATGAGACAAAAATCTACGATGTAACCGAAATTATTAATATAAACGACTTTTCTGTTCTTTCATGAGCGAAAAAACATTTTTTCTTCATATAAATTTCCCCGCACAGCAAGTACGTACCTGGTGAGTTCTTGATCTTGTTCAGGTCGAGCCCTAAATGGTGCAGACGATGTGCAGTTCAGAAGCTCATCCGTACCCAGATAGTTATCCCTGTCCCTGTCACAGCTGTAGAAACGGCCCCACAGACTCTCGCGGAAGGTCATGCCAGCAACATGCCACGGCTGGGAATCTAGGGTCTCCTGCCAGTGACGGTTGACCACCACCAAGAAGGCATCGCGCTGGGCACTGTAGCAGACGTCTGGAAAGGTATTTTTCGTTGCTGTAGGTGATCTATGTAAAGTTTCTCTCTCTCTCTCTCTCCCTCCCTCTCTCCCTCCCTCTCTCTCTCCCTCCCTCGCTCTCTCTCTCTCTCCCTCCCTCCCTCTCTCCCTCCCTCTCTCCCTCCCTCTCTCTCTCTCTCCCTTTCTCCCTCCCTCTCTCCCTCCCTCCCTCCCTCTCTCTCTCTCTCTCTCCCTTTCTCTCTCCCTTTATCTCTCCCTGTCTCTCTCCCTCTTCCCCTCCCTCTTCCCCTCCTTCTTCCCCTCCCTCTCCCCCTCCCTCTCCGTCTCTCCCCCTTCCTCTTCGTCTCTCCCCCTTCCTCTTTGTCTCTCCCCCTCCCTCTCCGTCTCTCCCCCTCCCTCTCCGTCTCTCCCGCTCCCTCTCCGTCTCTCCCGCTCCCTCTCCGTCTCTCCCGCTCCCTCTCCCTCTCCCTCTCCGTCTCTCCCTTTCTCACTCTCCCACTCAAATTAAGAAAATCGATATATTTCAAAACTCTTAAATGCACTCCTCACCTGGTTCGTCGTCATCAACTGGCTTCTTCTTTGGCTTCACTTGCTTGGCTTTCTTGCAGAATCCCTTGTGGAAGATGCCAATGGGCGTTTCCTGAAAAAAAAAATGTAAATTAGGCTCTGGATATACAGACATTAACCCCCAAAATATCTGAAATATGGCTAACTTCGAAAAAAAAATGGAAATATTGAGAAATCTATTTCCTCACTTACTGTAAGACAAGCATGACGGTGTAGCAAGCAGTGGCTATCATAGGAGTTGTCATCCGTGCCACAAACTGGGGCAAAGTGGTCCGGGCATGTGGCTTGACATTGGCAGTGTGGGGCGCCATTGGTCATCACACACTCTCTTCCTGCACGGCAGTCCACCAGTGCACAGGCATCATCTGCAAATGAGAGGTTCCGTGTTCCTCTAAGTATCTCAGGATCTATTTATTTTCATTGTCTGAGAAGGAGTTCTGTTGCACAACCTCCTTGCCTTTCTGTGACTGTCTCTCCCTCCCCTTTCGTATTTTTAAGTGTCTTTTTGTGGTTATCAACTTGTCTATAGTCTTTTAAGTCTGCTACCTGTTATCTTTTTACATGTCCATATACAGCTCATATCCCCTCTCACTTTCCTTCCCCCACCTACACTCTCTTTCTCTCTCTCTCTCTTCTCTCTCTCTCTCTCTCTCTCTCTCTCTCTCTCTCTCTCTCTCTCTCTCTCTCTCTCTCTCTCTCTCTCTCTCTCTCTCTCTCTCTCTATCTATCTATCTCTCCCCTTCTCTTCTTCTCCCCCATCTCTCTCTCTCTCTCTCTCTCTCTCTCTCTCTCTCTCTCTCTCTCTCTCTCTCTCTCTCTCTCTCTCTCTCTCTCTCTCTCTCTCTCTCTCTCTCCAGTTCTATTTCCCTTCATCTCAACCTCCATTTTGATATCCCTCCCTCTCACCCTTCCTAACTCCCTCCTTCCCTCTCCGTCTCTCTCCCCACTTATATAAATGACCTTCTACATTATTTTCGCCATCACTCTGTAGACATGCTTACCTCGTCCAAGTTCGAACTGAAAAAAAAAGAAAAAAGAACGTTATTCATCAAATTGCATTATTGAAAAAACACGATTTTAAAATAAAATATTTTAACCAACATTGCTTA